CTTGGTAATGGGGTTCTGTTGAAAAAGTTGGGCCCTGTGTCTCAATGCTGTGTGCACACATGGGCTTCTGGCTGAGCCTAGACTGATGCCACCTAGGCCCAGCAGGCCCCAGATGTGGCCCTTCAGTTCTTCCTGGCCCAGGCACAGAGACAGAGACTGCAAGAACAGCACCAAATTTGGATCCAAGAGGAACTGAAGCATTTGGAACAGGAAGAGGAGAAAGTGGCAGGTGACCAGGTCAAAGACCTGGTGGCTGAAGAAGAGGTGAGGAGGGTCAAGTAGAGGACTCGAGCTCCTTCTGATCAGGCTGGGCACTGTGCTGGGGGCTGGGATCCAGCATTAGTCACAACAGACGGGGCCATGCCCTCTCTCATGGCTTCCCAGCTTTAGGGGGATAGATGTGGCAATCCTCAGTGCTAAGTGCTGTGATGAGAGAGCTAAGGACTTGTGGGAACAAAGAGGTGTACCTGACCCAGGCTGGAATGGATCAGGGAAGATGGCATCTAAGCTGAGACCTAAAGGAAAAACAAATCAGCCAGAGGGGTTCACTAGACCCTGAGTTCCACAAGGGCAGTTTGTGCTCCTCATAGACGCACTCAGTAAATATAACTTGTTTGAACAAATTAAGAAACAAAACTCGTGTGCATGAGGGTGTGGGTGGAGGAGAGGGGTGGTGAAAGACCCATGTTCTGAGAGAGGATAGTATTGCATGATCAAAGGTCCAGAGGGAAGCAATGGCAAAATGGGTTCTGGGTATTGCAAATTGTCCATCTGGCTGGAGCCTGGTAGGTGCATGGTCAGAGGCAAGGTTAAAGAGACCAGTGTGTGCCATGTCTCTGGATCTGAACTTTACCCCAAGGATGATGGTGAACCGTTGAAAGGCATGTGTCATCTCAGCTCTGTCCCTCACTAGGCATGTGAATTTGGGCAAGTTAAGTCTCTTTTCTGATCCACTGTTTCCAAATCTGTAAAATGGCAACTACCCCATATGATTATCATCGGATAAAATGAGATACTACCCATGAAGTATTTAGAACCAAGCTGGCACTCAGGTGGCACCCAACAAAGAGTATTATCATTGAAGGCCTCCAAGGAGAGGCAGAGATGGCACCGGAAGCAGACAGTGTTGAGACTCCAGCTGGAAGCCCTTCGGGCAGAGCGAGACGCTGCAGAGCAGGACCTGGTAGCCCTCTATGACCTGCATGTGCAGGCCGCCCGAGCCCAGACATGCCATGTGCTGCAGGTCAGTGGGGACAGAGGGCAAGCCTTGAGCTGGTTCCATGGCTGGCTGACTGACCAGCATTTCTGAATCTGGGCACAGGTATTCCAAGCCTGGCGACGGCTGTGCAAAGAGCAAACCATGACCACAGAACATCATCACTGCAGCCTGCTGGCTGGAGTCCTGCAAGACACCATCGACCTGGCCACAGAGAACCAGGAGCTCCGAGCCCAGAACCAGCAGCTTCGGCAGGGTGCAAAATGGGCTGGGGTCATGCTGGATCCTTGCCCTGGGAAGAAATCTGATCAGGAATCCTTCAGGAGCAGTTTCCCCTCTCCTCATTCTTAACGTTCCTAAAATGGAGAGGAAGTTGGGACCCAATAACCAAGCTAACTCCATTATGGATAATCAATACCACCACTAACCAGGTCTCCTTGTATCAGTCCCTGCTAAGCGCCTAATATCCATTATTTCCTTTAGCCTTTTTTACTCTATATAACTGTAGGTACTGTTAGACTCCCTTTTCAGAGATAAGGCAACTCAAGCTAGGAGAGGTTAAGTAACTACCCAAAACAGTCTGCTAACGAGTGACAGAGCCAGAATTCAATTGGCTCTAATTGGCTACAGTTCTACACTGCAGACAGTAGTGGTTCACAAGCTGCAGCGTGCATCAGAATCAACTAAGGAGCTTATTTTAAAAACAAAAGAAAAAAGAGAAAAAGAGATTCCTAAACCCCACTCCCTAAGATTCTGCCTCAACAGGTCTAGGACTTTTTTTTGTTTGTTTTACAGGCTTACCAGGTATTCAACCAAGGGAGCAGGGCCTGACATTCCTTTGGCCATAAGAGCAGATGACAGGCAGGAATATCAGTGAGGGATCCAGAGGAAATTAGAATCAAAATCACACTGAGTCCTTAAGAGTTCTCTAGCCTAGAGTCCACAGTTTGTCCTGCTGGGCCCAGCACCTTCTATTCTCAAGACTCCCTCCAAATTCCCCAAGGCCCAAGTTTTGTGCTTCAGGAAAATTTCAAAAGCTCTGTGACATGGGGCCGGCCCCGTGGCCTAGTGGTTAAGTTTGCACACTCTGTTGCAGGCGGCCCAGTGTTTCGTCAGTTCGAATCCTGGGCGCGGACATGGTACCACTCATCGAGCCACGCTGAAGCGGTGTCCCACATGCCACAACTAGAAGGACCCACAATTAAGAAGATACAACTATGTACTGGAGGGCTTTGGGGGGAAAAAGGAAAAAAATTTAAAAAAAAAAAGTTCTGTGACAGAGAACTGTCTCAACTCCATGGAGCCCTCAGAGGAAATAATGCTGCTGGAAACAGTTGGGAGAAAACAGCCTTTTCTCCTGGTCTATAAGTTATTTCAGGATTAAGATACTCAGGACACCAGGGGAACAAAATGTTTGAGAAGAGCTATGCACCACAGGAGACACATGACAATCATGGTCGATTGTAGGTACCACCTACACCCCAGAACACTTTATTAATATCTTATTGCTTACGCAGTTAGAGACAGTGATTGAGCTATACAAGTTTCCCTGTGCCTGGTCCCAGGTCACTCTGTGTAGAGCTTCCCTAGGCTGTTGGGGGCTGGGACAACTGCTACGCTGGGGCAGGACCCGGGGGGAAGGATGGTACCTCCTAGGAGCCACAGAGGGGACAGTTGGCTTCAAGAGGGCCCTTGGGATGAGCAGAGGGGTCAGGAGTGTAGACTTAAGCCAGGGCCCAGGGGCAACATTCCCTGAGATGAGTCAAGCCCCAGCCCACTCTGGGGTTTCCAGAACAAAGGCTGGCTGTGGAGAGCAGCACTGTGGGAGGGAGCAGGGGGCATTGTCTCCAGGTGCTCCTGGAGCTACGGCAGCTAGGCAGAGTGGCCTGGGTGATGGTGTGTAATCTGTGGCAACTGGGCTATCCTGCATGACAGTGGGAGGTGAGTATCCCTATAGGGTAGTCATGCACCATAGCTGGGCCATGGCAGCCAGCACCAAGCCTGGGGGCAGTGGGTTTCCTAGGGTGACCACAGTAGGCAAGGAAAGCCAACTGTTGGCTCTGCCCCACTTTAAGCAATTGCATTCATGCAGGATGAGGCAGGGAATCTTCTCCATCAGGGATGGGGTCATTTCTCAGGTCTAGGTATTGACGCTCCTCCAATTCCTTGGTCTGGAAGAACTTGGGGGGGGGGGGTTAAGCGTTTACTTAACCAAACCCACTCTTCATGTCTCCCAGGGGTATGCCTTCACCCACCCACCTCTAGAGACTAACCCAGCTGCTCTCACTTCCCCAGCTTTTCTCACAAGGCACTTGTTACAGGGCTGCTGAGGTGAGAGGTGGGGAGGGCTGGGAGGTGACTCTGAGGGTGGCGTCCAATCTACAGGGTCAGGAGTCAGGGTAGAGGTGGTCAGGGACTAGCGGCTGCCATAGTACAGGCGCACAGCCAGGCCAATGAGCAGCGTGGCCAGGAAGAAGGCAGCTGTGAGCTGTAGCCGCAGCAGGGCTGCTGAGAGCATGGCATTGACCACTAGTGAGCAGGACACAACAAAGAGCCGTGTGATGCTGCTGCCATGCTTCATGACGGCTGACATGAGCAGTCCATTTAGTGCCTGGCTCAGCACCACGAGTGCTGCCCATCCTGAGAAACCCTCCAGGAGGCCTGGGCCGGGGCCGCCACCTGCATGCAGACCTAGGTTCAGGAGCACACCAAAGGTGTAGAGGAAGAGGTTCTGAAGGGCTAAGGGTAGCCGCTGCCGCTTCATGAGCAGTTCTGTGTACACGGATGACAAGCCTGAGATGAGGCAGTACACGACGAGGAGCAGCAGTCCTAGTGGAGTGATATGCAGGGGCATGGGGCTGGCAGCAGCTGCTGGAGGGGGCCCAGAAGGGAGGTTCCCAGGGTTCTGGAGGCCACCAGCTGCATAGCAGACCCCTGCTGCCATGAGCAGCAGCAGTGCTAAGCCCTGGCGTGCAGAGAGGCGGTGTCGGAGGCAGAGGCAGTAGAACAGGGCCGTGCTTCCAATCTTGAGATTGCTCAGTACTTGGTAGGTGCTGGGGTCCATGTAACGTTGAAGATAGATCACCAGGTTGTTGTTAGCGCCGTAGAGCAGGGCTGATAGTGCAAAGGGGACAGCCTGGCGCCAGGGTGGGGCCCCCCGGGGCCATGCCTGCCAGCCCACCAGGAAAGGAAAGGTACACAAGAGCAGCTTGGTCAGCTCAGTCAGCAGCACAGCTGAGGAGGGCCGGAAGGGCACTTGGCCGTCCACAAGGCACAGTGCCAACAATGGGGCATGGGCACCATACATAGCAGTGGACAGGAGTAGCATCAGGGTCCAGCGGGCCTGTCTGGGACGGCCCAGGCCTGGCATACCCCCATCCTCTACACTCATGCCCAGACCAGACCCTGGGTGGCCTGTGTAAATGGCAAGAGGCAGTGGGGATTGTGACACATTTGGGGAAAATCAAGTTATGGAGCCAGCTCCCAGGAGGGAGGAGCCATGGTACATCACCAGAGAGAATACTGAGGATCAGAGTCAGCTGCAAACTCCACAATCAGGGCTGGAAAAGGGGCTGCTGGCCCTAGAAGCTGCAGTCTTGGGCCCAGTCCCATGGGGTTAGGGAGGGAAGGAGTCCAGGGTGCTGGCTGAAGAGCCACTGTCCACCCTCTTCAGGAAGGGAAGCAAGGATGAAGGTGGCAGGAAAGTTGGAGACAGCAAACAGGTGATAGCCGAGGAAGCCAGGAATGGTGTCTGTGCTCGAAAGACCTCCACCTGCAGGCCCCAGGTGCTCATCCTGCCTCCCCCATGGCATCCAGAGCTAGTCAGGCCCTTTGCGCAGTGACCGCAGATAGTCCCTTAATGTCTTCTCCACATTGGGCACAGCATATGCCTGAGCTGCGTAGATGCCAGTGCAGGTGCCCACGGCAAAGCCCAATACTGCTGATGCCCTCAGTTTCGCCACCACATAGCCAGCCAGGAAGCCCTTGAGGAATGGGGAGGACAACAGCGAGCCATCCTGTGGAGGAAGATCCAGGAGGAAACTGAGCTAGGCTCAAGTCCTTTTCTCTAACCAGGAGCTACTCGAGCTGGGCTTAGCGTGTCCCACCACCTGCTTCTCCTTACTCTGGAAAGCTGGAGAATTCTCTCCAAAGATTTTCTCAAGGGTCTGGAGGCAGAAAAAGAACCTAGGAGTCCTGATCACACAATCTTAGAACCCTGGGCTTAGAACACTCCAACCACAGAACCCTACGGTCATAAGACCACAAATGTCCCCGAGGAATCTGACCCCTGCCCGCTTCTCTAGTCTCATTTCCTAGCATGTTCCCCCACTACTGCAGCCAAAGCAAACTGCTTTCAGCCCTCATGTTCATCATGCTACCTCCCACCACAAGGGCCTTGCATATGCTGTTTCATTTGCCTGGAATGTCCCCTCTTCCCCTCTTCTAGTTAACCCCTATTTAAGACCCTAGTTTAAGCACCATTTTCTCAGGGAAACTTTCCCTGGGGTCACAGAGAACAGGCCCTCAATAACCACTTGCTGAATAAATCTCCACCACCCACTTAAAAGCATATTGGGCCATGAAGCCTAAGCGGGAGTGGGGGGCAGGCGCAGCTTTACCTGGCCCACACCACTGTTGACTTCATCTTCCACACGCCGCTGCAGGCTCTCCAGCTGGTCCTTGAGAAACGCCAAGTCCTTAAGCTTGGGCAGAGAATCCTAGGACGAGGGAGAGGCTGGTTCCAGCAGACAGATCCAGCCCCATTCCCCGTTCAAGTCTATCAGAGGCTCGGGATGGGGGTAACGGGGTGAGCCTGAGAAACCTCTTCCTATAATACATTCCTGAGATGACAGTGGTCAAGCAAGAAAGGCACTGAAAAGTACAGAATTCACATGGGGGCCAGGGAGGCGGTGACAGATGGGATATGCATCAGTAACTTAAAATAACCCTTACACAAAAATTTTATAGAGCAAGCCTATAAGCGTGTAGGGGAGGCAGGAAGGGCAGCTAGGAGACCTTCAATCAGGAAAGCACTAGGGGCTGGCCAGGTGGCACAGCGGTTAAGTTCCCACGTTCTGCTTCGGTGGCCCAGGGTTCGCTGGTTCGGATCCCAGGTGTGGACATTACACCACCTGTCAAGCCATGCTGTGGTAGGCGTCTCACATATAAAGCAGAGGAAGATGGGCACGGATGTTAGCTCAGGGCCAGTCTTCCTCAGCAAAAAGAGGAGGGTTGGCAGCAGTTAGCTCAGGGCTAATCTTCCTCAAAAAAAAAAAAAAAAAAGAAAGGAAAGCACTAATGATTCGACTATAAGCTACCTGAAAGTGGTGACCAGTCTGTCTTGTCTGTGTCCCGAGGCTTAACACAGGGACTGGCAAGTACGTAGTAAATGTGTGAGTGGTGCTGAACTTCCAGACCAATGGTGAGTAATGGCCCGAGCCGAGGCAGTTTCCTGGACAATCTCGGGGCAGATCTGATTTCTGCCTGGGCTCCTCCTCATTTCCTCGCAAGGCCATCCCAAACTGAAATGTGTGGCTGTATGCGCGCGGGGCGGGAGGCGGAGGGAGCGGGGGCAGCGGGGAATGGCTGTCTGTAGGAGTATAGATAAATGAACTGAGTGATTTTGATCGCATGTAAGTATGAAATGCAGTGTCTGCGCAAGGGAGTGTTTGAATGAGAGAATGAGTGTCCGTGTGAACTGGAAACATCGTGTCTCTAGGAGGAAAACTTCGAGGGCAGGTAATGGAGCAGAGAGAGGAATAAGTCAGAGCGAAAGTGTCTGAGCGTGTGCGAGTACTCAGAGACCGTGACGGTCCCCGGGGAAGGGAACGCCTGGGGAATCCCCGGCTCCGCTTGCCTCGCGGAGGCACTCTACAACCCACCGTTGAGGCAGTCTACAGGAGCAAAAGTCCGCCCCCAGGGGAAACAAGGGGTACCCTACCCATGAGCCGCTCCACGGTCTTCTCTCCCCAGGCCTAAAAAGGCGTGAACACCACACCCGACTGGACATCACCCCCACGTTCACTCACCTTGTCATCCGCCATTTTCCCCGCTGAACTTGTTGCGCAGGCGCAGCCCCGCCTCCCTCCTGTCAAGGGTTACGGCCATCTTTACTGAGGGCGGAGGCACTTCCGGGGCATTTTTGGAAAGGGTGGAGGCGCTTCCCTGATGGCCAAGCTTTGGAGGTCTCCTTCTGGCAGATACTACCACGTGACCCGTCCCGTCGCGTCCGGGGCTTTGTGTGTGCGCGCGCACACAACTTGGGCGCAATGATCTCACCCGTGAGCGTGTGCGCGCGACGCACATTCGCTTGGCCAGTCTTCCGCCGCTTGGTGTGCTCAAGGTTGCGGCGTGATGTCAGCCGGTGCGCTGGCGGCGGTTCGTCTCGCCCGGACTCACGCACGGAAACGCGCACTCACTCGGGGATCCGGACGGCTGTTTACCCGCGCCACCCCTCGGCGAGCGGCGCTGCCCACGCCGGTTCTTTCCCGCCCCCGGGACCCGGCCCCTGCCCCGCCCCGTATTTGTGCGGCGCCGGCTGGCCCGGCGGACTCCGGCGCAGAGGCTGGGCGTGTAGGCGCAGCACCTCCAGAGGTCGAGCTGGGCTGAGAGTACACGCCGGCGTAGGCCGGCGGGGACGCAGCTGGGGCTATGCTGGGCAAGGATTACATGCTGGCCATCATTCTGGTCAATTGCGATGGTGTGCACGGAGGGGTCGGATGGGAGGACTGGGAGCTGATGGGGGAGGTGGGGGCTCGAAAGGCTACCACTAGGCTCAGAGACAGGGAGGGGAGCACGTCTCGGGGTGAGGACCAGGGGACAGATGAACCCTGATCTTTGCAATGCAGTATCCAAGATTGGGAGCCTGGACCCTCAGACTGCACCTCCGGGTTAAGGGTTGTCCTCTTTGGGATGGAAGAAGGATTATGACAGGGTGCTATTCTGAAGCCCCGAATATGCCCTCCCTCTCCAATCCCATGTTCCCCCTCCCCATCTCGTGTTCCTGTAGATGATTTGTGGGGGGACCAGAGTCTGGAGGGAGAACCAGGCCTGCCCCCTGGCTGGAGGAAGATCCACGATGCTGCAGGTACTTACTATTGGCACGTACCCAGCGGTAGCACCCAGTGGCAGCGCCCAACCTGGGAGCCAGGAGATGCGGAAGATCCAGGCACGGTAGGTAGAGTGTGATGAGGGGGCCTGAGCCCATGTGTGGATCTAGGCCTGCTGCTACACTGACCTAGCCCCCTCTCTACAGAGGACGGAGGGAATTTGGGGACTTCGGCCCCCCAAGGGGAGATCCTTCTCCAGCCTGGAGAGCTCACTGGACCAGAGGTAACAGGGATAAGCCAGGCAAAATGAAAGGCTTGGGGTTCCATGGCACTCAAAAGATGGAGCTGGATCTACAAGTCTGCTTTCCAGCCCAGATTCTGGACTCTGTCCCATGTTTAGAGCTCTGTTCTGTGTTCTTGCCTTTGTCCCATGTTCTTGACTCAATATTTTGAGTTTTGTCATTTGTTCCAAGCTTTGTTTTTTGCTATGTGTTCTTTTCCATCTTCTGGGTCCTAATCTATCATGTTCCACACCTTGGCCATTGTCCTAGTCTCAGCCCATGGAGGTTCCTATCCTATATTGCAGAGTCTCTTGTCCAGATTTGGGGCTCTGGTCCACATTTTGGATGCTACTCCACGTTTGCAATTATTATTCTATGTCTTGTGTCCTGAATTTTTCTTCAAAGTCTAAGCCCCCTCTATGTTACATTGACTTAGTATGTCCTGGGCCCTGTCCTGCTTTGGTTTTGTATTTCGGACACTATATTCTGAGTCTTATCCCACATCTTGTGCCCATTAAGTAGTCTGGGCCTCACAAATGTTGCTTCTGTAGGAGGTGTGGTCCTCTTACCAGCTCTGCTTTCTTCCAGTAACTCTCTCTCCTGGTATGGTGAGGAATCCTACATCCAGAGTGTGGAGCCAGGGGCTAAGGTAGTGACTTGGGCCTGAGGGCCAGCTCAGGGCATTGGGGAGGGTCCCAGGGAAACATCAGAGTCGGATTGGGCTAGGCAGAAGTGATCAAGGGTGAAGGAAGTGGGTATCAGAGGGTTTATATATGTGGAGCCTGTGGCACCTCCCACCCTACTCCACGCCTACTCACTCAGGGCCCTCCTGTCCTTTCCCCCAACCCATCAGTGCTTTGCAGTCCGCTCTCTGGGCTGGGTAGAGGTACCCGAAGAGGACCTGGTACCAGGGAAGAGCAGTATCGCAGTCAATAACTGCATTCAGCAGCTGGCCCAGACCCGCAGCCAGAGCCAGTCCCCAGATGGTGCCTGGGGTGAGGTGAGCTGGCTGGCCTTTCAAGGGGTTCAGCCCAGGGTCCAGCAGAGGTAGTTGTCCCTGAATTGCCTGTTCTCTATGGCAACCACTTTTATCTGAGCTCTGGGCTGACCTCTCTTTGGCAGGGTCAGAATATGCTGATGATCTTGAAGAAGGATGCCATGAGCCTAGTGAATCCCCTGGACCACAGTCTGATCCACTGCCAGCCTCTGGTGCACATCCGTGTATGGGGTGTGGGCAGCTCCAAGGGCCGGTGAGGACCCCTACATCCCTCTAAGTGAGACTTGCTCATCCCTCCCCCCTGAAGGCTGTGATCCCTACTGATGCTAATCCCCTGTACTTGAACCCCTGGACACAGATCCTCTGACAAGGACCCAAGCTCTGCCTCCCCTGCCTGGTCCAGACTTGGTTGGGGAGGGTGGGCTCAGCTCAGCAGGGACGAATAGGGGAGAGCCTGAGAGGCTGGGCTGATTCTCTCCTGTGCTCCCACATGCTTCCGGAACAGTGACAGGTGAGTGACAGCCAGGTGCCTGGAACCCCAGCCCTGATCTCCCTTTTCCATTCCTGCCATGTCCCTTGCCTAACTTTCCAGCCTCCTATAGGCACTACAGGCTCCTGCCCCTATCCAGCCTCTACCCCAGCCCGATTTCTGCCCCTGCCCCAGCCCCATCTCTGACCCTGCCAGGGACTTCGCTTTTGTGGCGGGTGATAAAGACAGCTGTATGCTCAAGTGCCATGTGTTCCGCTGTGACGTCCCTGCCAAGGCCGTTGCCAGTGCCCTGCATGGGCTCTGTGCCCAGGTAAGGCCAGGAGTGGGACAGGGAATGTGGATGTGAAGCAGGGTCTGAATTGCCAAGGTGGTTGGGGCAGGGTGGTATTGGCTCCCTTACCGCAATTCCCTTCTCCCTGTGCCTCATGCTGCCTGCATTATGTTTCAGATCTTGTCAGAGCGAGTAGGGGTCAGTAGTGATTCCCCTTGCTGCTCCCTAGACCCCATCTCTCCTGAAGACCTGCCACGGCAAGGTATGGGGAGGGAGATGCTGCATTGCAGCAGTAGGCAACTGGTAAAAGATGGGATGGGGGTTCTGGTTATTTAGTACTTCTCTGGAGATAGGGGACTCCTGAGGTGTCCTTGTCCCAGGGATCCCAAGCCCTAAATTGGAGAAGCATCCATGGCCTTCCTTCTCCTAGCTCCAGTTCTCTCAGAAGGGTGAGGAAAGGGGTCATTGAATAATGCCCAGTCCAACTTGGTGTATATATTTCAGTGGAGCTGCTGGATGCTGTGAGCCAGGCTGCTCAGAAGTATGAGGCACTGTACATGGGGACCCTGCCAGTCACCAAAGCCATGGGTGAGGACTGAGTGGGCTGGAGGGAGTGGGCTGCATAAGGCAAGGGGAACGTGGGTTAGGTAGGATCTACCACTGTTTCTCAGAGTGCTCCCATGGCCCTGTCCAGCTTGGGATGTATCACCCTTCCCAACTCAGGATTTGAATCCCAGCCCTTTGTGTTCCCATCTCTCTGAATCCCAAGTCAGTGAGAGGGGCTTAGACACTCCCTGCAGATCCTTTCTTTCTTTACATCTGGGAGACACCATGGTGGGCATGTTCCCATAGGCATGGATGTGCTGAACGAGGCCATTGGTACCCTCACCACGCGGGGGGACCGGGATGCCTGGGTCCCTGCCATGCTCAGTGTGTCTGACTCTCTCATGACTGCACATCCCATTCAGGTATCAGCCAGAAGAAGGTGAAATTGGGGGTTCTGGAGGGGTGGGCAGGGATGCTGAGGGGTCATGGCTTGCCGCTGGAAGTGCTCATTGGGTCCAGCCAGTGCCTGGCCCTCTAGTGACTAGGTCTGGTGTGGGCAGGCAGAAGCTGGTGCAGAGGAGGAGCCACTGTGGCAGTGCCTGGTGCGACTTGTGACCTTTATTGGTGTTGGCCATGACCCACACACCTTTGGCCTCATTGCCGACCTGGGCCGTCAGAGCTTCCAGTGCGCGGCTTTCTGGTGCCAGCCCCATGCAGGGGGACTCTCCGAAGCTGTGCAGGCTGCTTGCATGGTGAGTTAGGAGTGGGAATGGGTGGGTGGGTCTGCCCTGCAGCTGCTCTGTACTGGTGACTGGAGCTCAGGATCGGCAACCTCTCCAGAGATCACAAACACAAATTCCAGGGATGACTTTTGTTTAGTAGTATTTTATATTTGGCCCTCATGCTGTTTTTACTAAGTTTGAGTTAGTTGCCAATATTTAAAGGCCAGAACATTTCACATAATTGCTATTCCTGTTTTTCTAGAATATCAGCAGCTCTGACACTGGGTCCACATATAAATTTCGACATTCAGCTGGAATTGTGTAGGAGCTGTGCCCTGTAGGGTGGGCACTGTCTTTCCTGTTTGTCTCATTTAGGTTATTTCCTGATATTTGTCGGTATTTGAGTGTGGGATGTCTGCACTCTGTTAGTTCAGCTCACTCATTCACTCAACAAATACAAGTGCCTGCAGAGTCCCAGGGACCATACTTGACCTTGGGAATTCACTGGTATAGAAGGCACAGCCTTTGCCCTCACAGAACACTTAGGTTAGACCAGAGACAGACCAAAAAGAAGTTGTACACCACAGGATGATGGAGACGGCAGCTTCAGGTTCAAGAAGGCTACCTGAAGGAGGTGATAGAAAACTGAGAGGTGAAGATCCAAGGCGGAAGTTAGCCAGGTGAAGGGGAGTGGGACCAAAAGTGTGCCAAGTATGGGGAACCCCAGCTGTGAAAGTGAGAGAGAGGTTAGTGGATTAGAGTATCTGAAAGAACCTAGTGTATCTGGAGTGCAAGGGGGCTGGAGTGAGAGATGGGGGCAGAAAAAATGGCAGAAACCAGGTCATGGAAGAACTTACATGTCAGGGTGATGAGTTTATTTTACCCCGAGGCACTCTGAGCCATTTAAACGTTTTGAGCAGGACAGTGAAGTCAGGTTTGTAGATTAGGAAAACCCATTAAATATGGGTGAAAGATTTGAAAGACACAAGAGAAGCAGGAAGACCCGGGTTTAGGACCCGGTTGAGTTAAAGTGAGAGAAGATTGGGGCAGTTGCATTGGGAATGGAGTTTGGATTATAGACCCTCCCTTTGACCAGGGAATCCTCTTTGCCAGGGCAGGTCTACTCCAGTGAGAGATGTAGGTGAGTCAACATAGTGACAGGTGTGGTTAAGAGCACAGGCTCTGCAGTGAGACAGAACGAGGTTTGAATCTCAGTTCTATCATTTTTTGGCTAGGTGACCTTGGGCAAGTCATGTATTCTCTTTGAATCTCAACTTCCTTATTTGCAAAAGGTGGATAATACCATCTGATAAATAACTGTGGATTAAGTTAGATTATACAGAGTATTTAGCAAAGTGTCCAGCCCTCCTTAAATACTCAGTAAATGTCAAGTTTTATGTTTTTGTTATTGAGCTACCTGGGACTGCTACAGGGGCTCCAGACGTGGCAGACTACTGGCCTCTTATCAGACTGAAGCCTTGGCCAGTTCCCCTGTCCTGCAGAAGCTTTCACAGAGTCCAGGGGCAGAAAGGAGTTGGATCCTCACATTCCCCTTCTCCCTAGGTTCAGTACCAGAAGTGTCTTGTGGCCTCTGCAGCTCGAGGCAAGGCCTGGGGTGCCCAGGCCCGTGCCCGCCTGCGCCTCAAGCGGACCAGCTCTGTGGACTCCCCAGGAGGTCCCCTGCCTCTCCCCCTCCTCAAAGGAGGGGTTGGGGGTGCTGGGGCAGCTCCTCGAAAGCGGGGTGTCTTCTCTTTTCTTGATGCCTTCCGGCTGAAACCTTCTCTGCTCCATATGCCCTAAATTGCTCTGGGAGGACTGGGGAAGGAGGCTCTGGGTCCATGCCCAACTCTGTACCCCTTCATTCCCTAGGGGCTTGCAGCCTCTTACCCGTTGGAGCCTTCTCTGCCTGCCCCTCCAATCTTGCCCATCCTCTATTTATTGCCCTATTTATTAATTGTTTATATGGATGATTGAGAGGCCTTCCACCACATTCTAGGCCCTTGGCACACCTTTCCCTGAGTCCCTGTGTTCCTTGCCCCTGTCCAGCCCTGGACAGTTGGCTCTACCTCAGCAACACTTTATAGCAAAATCAGTACAAATAAAAATCCCTCAGTGACCTCACTGGGCGTGAGTGTATTGGGCCTGGGACAGGGTTGAGGGTTAACCTGTGTGGGGTGAGTGTCTGTCTGTGCTTGGTGTTGGTGGCTGCCAGTAATCACATGAAGGCATTAGTATGATGGAAATGTGACTTCATTCATTCAACAAATATATTTTCTAAGGTCGTCTTTGTGCCAGGCACTAAACTAGGCACTGGGGATGTAATAAAATTGTCAGGGTTTCCACCTTCTGAGATTATCAGAAGGGGAGACGAACAAAAGTCAAATAGACAAAACAGAAAATAATATGTAGTACAACCAGGAGATCTCCGAGGGTCGTGGGAGCTCAGGTGAAACACTTAACCTGGGCTTTGGCATTACTAGGCTTCATGAAGGGTTGACATCTGGGTGCTCAAAGAAGATGAATACTAGTTATGAAGCCTAGGGAGTATAATGTGCAGGGCAGTGGACAGAGGTGAGGTTCTGTAAGTCCACCTCGCTAGATGACAGAGGGGCATATGTGAGGCAGGAGCTTCTCATGGTTTAAACTTGCTCCTGAGAGCAACTGTGAGGCGTGGAGAGATTGGACCCAGAGCGGACCAGGGCTCCTAGAGCGCCGCCTCCTGGAAAACATCCCCGTGTGGTGCCTTGTGATCAGGACCCCAAGGCATTATTAGCTGGAGATACCGAGTCTCTCAGGGAGTAGGCGCAGAGTGCGCGCAGACACTCCTGGCGTTTGTGAACAACTGTCTTACCTGGAAAGACTCCAAAAACTTGCCCGGCCCCGGGTACGCGCCAACCAGCTCGGGTGTGCGGCCGCCCCGGAAGTGACGCGCTGCCCCGCTGGCCGTGCGGAAGTGGAGATGGCGGAGCTGTACGTGAAGCCGGGTGAGCGCGGCCGGCGGATAGGGGCGCTGAGTCCTCCTCCTCTACTCAGGCTGGTGGTGGTTACTGTGCGGGGTGCGGACCTTCCGTCTCCCCCGGGCTCGCTTCACACGTCCTCTACCCTCCGCAGGCAATAAGGATCGCGGCTGGAACGACCCGCCCCAGTTCTCCTACGGGCTGCAGACCCAGGCTGGTGGACCCAAGCGCACGTCGCTCACCAAAAGGGTCGCTGCCCCCCAGGATGGATCCCCTAGAGGTGCGAGGGAGCCTTGTGCGCGGAGACCGGTCGGGAATGGGTGGTGCCAGGGATAAGCCTGTCCCGAGGGTCCTTTCTGCTCCTTCGAGGACTCCCTGAGAGAGGTTAGAGTCCCAGAAAGGGGCTCACAGCAGGCTCTTTTCCGACCCCCTTCTCTACTGCTCACGTACGTTGGTTTCAAAAGAATCTGTGCTTTCATCCTAGGTGATCTCGTCCAGATCTATGGTTTTTAATATAGTTTTTATTCTCAAATTATTTTCAAATTTATTTCCAACCTGGATCTCTTCCCAGAACTCCATAGTAGTATATCCATTTGTTTGCATCTTCACTTGGCTATATAATAAGCATCTCAGACTTAACGTGTTATTCATTTATTTCATTCAATCAGCCTTATCTCTGGAGCACGTACTATGAGCCAGGTACTGTTTGAGGGTGAACTAGACAGCAGTGAACAAGACAAGAGGTTTCTGTTTTTGTGGAGTCCACACTCTAGCTTTGGAGATAGACAAATGAAATAGTGGTAACGGCTCTGCAGAGAAATAAAACAGGGTGATGTGAGAGTGACTAGGTAAGTTAAGTGTCTGAGAGGCTGATATTTAAGTTGAAGTCTGAGTGGTGATTAAAACCTATCCAAGCAAAGATCAGGCCCAAGAGCATTCCAGGCACTGGAAACAGCTAGTGCAAGGGCCTTAAGAACAAGTTTGGCAAATTCAAAGACTGAAGGAATACCTAGTGGCTAGAGCACAGTGGGCTAGGGATAGCAATTAAGATCTGAGGAGTAGGGGCCGGGCAGTGATGTAGTGGTTAAGTTTGTATGCTCTGCTTTGGTGTCCCAGGGTTCGAGTGTTTGGATCTCTGGTGTGGACCTACACACTGCTCATCAAGCCATGCTGTGGCAGCATCCCACATACAAAATAGAGGAAGATTGGCACAGATGTTAGCTCAGGTCCAATCTTCCTCCCCAAAAAAACCTGAGATGTAGACGGGGACCAGATCATAGTGGATTTTGTAAACCAGGGTAAGGAGTTTGTATTTTCATCTATGTAAAATTTAAAGTAGAGCAGGGCTGCCTCTCCCCTTGAGTGTTTCTTATGCCAATAGGTAAGCCCAGAGAAAGGGGCTCAGATTTAGCTCTTTCAGCTCCCCTCTATTATCCACCTGTAACACTGGAGAGGAATGATATAAGCCAGGGTTTTTTAACCTTGGCACTGTTGACATTTTGGGCCAGATAATTCTTTGTTGTAAGGGACTATCCTGTACATTGTAGGATGTTTGCAGTATCTCTGGCCTCTACCCACTAGACACCAGCAGCACCCACCCAGTTGTGACAGCCAAAAGTGTCTCCAGACATTTGTTCTTGGGGCAAAATCTCCCCAGGTTGAGAAACACTGACTGAAGTACATCTTTAAAAAGATCACTCTCTTTGCTCTGTAGAAAACAGATTTTAGGAAAGCAGTGGAAAGACAAATTAAGAGGCTATTATGGTAACAGAGGCAGGATTTAATGATGTTTTGGGCAAGGCTGGAAGTACTAGAGATGGTAGGAATTGGACGGCTATGGGATATGTTATGGAGAAAGTCAGTAGGAATGAGTAGATAGGAGGTGCGGGAAAGAAGAATCAATGTAACTTACATTTTTTGCTTGAGGAACTGGCTGGTATCGTTATTAATTTGGGAAAACTAGGCGATAGAGGTTTTACAGGGAGGAGAAAAGCAAGCTTTCTGTCTTGGCCATGTTAAATTTGGGCTGATATTTTGGGGAGAGGTCTAGGCCAGAATTACAGAAACAAGTCACCATCATATGGATGGTATTTGATGTCATGGGCTTGAATAAATTCGGTTACCTGAGGAAGAGTGTGTGGATAGAGGCCTAAAGAGGAATCAAGACAGAAACCTAAAGCTCTCTAGCATTTCAAGGTTGAGTAGAGAAGCAATTAGCAAAAGAGACTGAGAAACAGCCAAAGAAATAAGAACAAAAGTAAAATTTACTGTGGGAGAGAGTAAAATCTTGACTTAACCACGATGCATGCTCCTGAGAGGTCAAGTAAGAGAGAGAAAGAGGACCACCAGATTTGACAAACATAGTGATCACTGGTGACCCTAACAAAAGCAGTCTGTGGAGTGATGAGAGCAGAAACCCAGTTGGAATGGGCTGAAGAAAGAATGTGAAAAGTAGTAGAGTGCCTGTAGACAGCTCATTCAAGAAATTCTGCTGTGAAGCAGAGATGAGAAATGGGATAGTGCCTGAAGATGGAGTGTGAGGTAAGGGGAGGGTTTTTCTTCTTAAGATAGTACACTAGAGTGTTTGTATGCTGATGGGATGCTTCAGTAGAGGGAGAACTGATGGTGCGTGCAGGAGAAAAGGGATAACTGCAGGTGGGAAGCCTAGAGAAGGCAAGAGAGGCTGGGACGCAGAGTATAGCTAGAGAGATGACCTGCGATAGGAGCAGGAACCTTTCATCTATTAGAGGAAGAAGGATAGTGGCCACAGATGCAGGTGGGGTAGTAGAATTGGTGGAGAGACTTCCTGTTTAATGACCTCTATTTTCTTAGTGAAATATGAGGCAGGGTCAGAAGTAGAGCCAGTGGGAAAAGGAAAAGGAGGAGAAGGCAGAAAAATTTAGAGATTAGTTGTGAAAATAGTTGTTCTGAATAGTATAAAAAGGAGGCAAAGTGTAGGATTTTCAGGCAATGTTGGATACCTTTTAAAATCTGTAGCCATGAATGTGTAACTCATCAGCATGGTTCTGTTTTTCCTCCCAACAAGTAAGGTAAGTTGGGTTTACCAGGGGAGTGAGACAGCAGGAGGGTCTAGTGAGGTAAGAGTGTTTAACTGAGCTGGAAGGGTAGGAGGGGGTGGTCAGATTTTGAAGATGGTACACTGTTGTTGAGAAGTAGGCAGAGGGGAATGGGAGACTGAGGTAGGGTGGAAAGAATGATTGGAGGTCAGGAGGTCAAGAAACTGAGAGGCCAAATTATCAGAAGAATTAGTGGATGTTGATGCCTAAAGGTAAATTCTCTTCTCCTTCAGTCTTCTCTTTTCCCACAGTGGTTCCACCATCCCATTACTAAAGTCAGAAACCAAGAGTCATCCTTGACTCCTCTCTCCCTTGCCCCCAATCCATCAAGTCTTGTTGCTACCTCCTCCTAAATAAATCTCAGAATACTCCATTTCCCCTTGTCTACTCTTTCACTCTAGTCCATACCAGCATTCTTTTTTCCTAGACTACTCCCATTAACCTCCCAACTGTTGTCCCTGCCTCCACTCTTGACCTATTCTCATCAATTTTTTCTCAGACTACAGAGCAAATGTCTTAAAAAACAAGTCTAGTCATATCATCTCCTGCTTTTATAAACATGTAGTGGCTTCCTGTTACCATTAGGCTCAAGACCAAGTTCCTCCAAAGCTCTGCAAGGTCTGGACCCACTGCTTACCTCTCCAGGGACGGCTCACACTACTTTCTTCAGTATTAATAATTTCCAGCCACACAGGCCTTGTTTCTGTTCCTTGAACAAGTCAGGACTTTTCCTGACTCTTGGGCATTGCCCTTACCTTTATGTATTACACAGTTCCTTCAACTCTTCATGGCTGCATCTATCTCATCCATTAGTTCTTAACTTTGTGAGCACTTTTTGCTATACACTAATCTAGCAGCTGTACCTATATTCTTACTTAATCATCCTGCAACCATATGAAATAAGTGCTACAACTATAATATCTCCATTTTACAAAAGAGGAACCCAAGCTCGGAGGTTAAAAGTAACTTGCCAAACGTCACATAGTGGGTGAGCTAGGATAAACTTAGATGTCACCTCAGAAAGCCTTCCTTGAACACTCAGCCTAGGTAGGTCCTTCTACTGTTCCTCTTTATTACATCATCCATTTTATTTCTTTATAGCATGCAATATAATTTGGTAATTTTCTTGTGTTTTTTCCTTTCCCTAGAATTTAAGCTCTCTGAGGTCAGGAACCTAACTACTACTCTCTCTCTGAAGCCGTGCACACTATCTGGCACATAGTAGGGACTTTATAAATATATATTTTTGAATGAATGAGTTGTCCCAGAGAGTAGCCTTCCTTAGAAGGGATGAAGTTAGAGTTGAGCTTCTTACCTATTTAAGCCATGTTTGCTTGATCCTACTTTACCTTTTCAGTCCCCATCTCAGAGACTTCTCCTGGGGCCCCCCCAGTGGGGCCTCCACCTCTTTCAAGTAAGGCTTCCAGGCCCCCACCTGTTGGGAGTTCTCCTGCCTGCAGTGTGGAGCCCACAAATTTCCCAGTTATTGAATGTGAGACTCTGCTAGAAGATGTGCTGAAACCTTTGGAAGAGGCATTGGACGATTGCCGTGGCCACACAAAGGTAAGCCCTGGCATATCAGTGGAGTGATGGGGAGGGCTCCCATCGACAGCCAGATGCAGGTATGGCTCCCAAAGATAGACCCTCTGACCCTATGGGCGATGGCTCTTAACCCTTTCTGGGTTATGGACCCCTTCAAGAATCTGCTAAGGACTTCCCAGAAATGTGAACACAGGATTTCAGGAAGGTTCATGTGACTTCTGAAGACCAGTCAGTAGAAGAGGCTTGTAGGAACAAGAGTTGAATTTAACTCCCGTTAGTGATAACAGCCTGATTCGTACGTCTAGGACCTCCAGACCATTCAGAGCAGACCCTGCTGATTTTGTGCTCAAGGAGGGAAAGGGAAACCCCCTTTTTCTATCTGTAGTGTTTCGTAAGTTCTCTGGAGGCAAAGGATCTGAGGAATCTTAAAGGAAAGTAGCATAGTAATTTTTACTGCTTTGGTCCTTAGTTTACTTATTTGTAAAGCAGCACTACAGAATAAGTATATCTGAGGGTCTGAGAAACTCCAGAAGTTTTAAAACTCTAGCCATATATGCATTTTTCTTGGGAGGAGATCCAAAGATTTCATCACATTCTCAGTAGGGCCTCTAACCTTTGGGTAAAGAACCAGAACTCTTAAAATGAACTGTAAAGTTCCTGGGGCAGAGAGAAAGCAGGTGCTTCCTATGTGGTGCTGCCTTGCCCCTCCCCGTTGGGCTGGCAGCACTGACTTGGAGGGGAATTCTGTCCCTTAGAAGCAGGTATGTGATGACATCAGCCGACGCCTGGCTCTGCTGCAGGAACAGTGGGCTGGAGGGAAGCTGTCAACGCCTGTAAAGAAGAGGATGGCTCTGCTGGTGCAAGGTAGGAGTAGATCCCTTGGTATAGCGTAAGTCCCTCATCCTGCCTTGGTTGGCTGAGCTGGAATAGGTGCTGAGATTTTGACTGGTTGGGAAGGGAGTAGTGGGAGCTATGTCTTTTGCCCCAGGCTTGCTTGCTCAGCCTCTCTCTCCTCAGAGCTTTCAAGCCACCGTTGGGATGCAGCGGATGACATCCACCGCTCACTCATGGTTGACCATGTGACTGAGGTCAGTCAGTGGATGGTGGGAGTTAAAAGATTAATTGCGGAAAAGAGGAGCCTGTCTTCAGAGGAGACCAGTGAAGAGAAATCTACAGCCACAGCTGAGGAGCACCAGACCGTACCAGGCATCCACAGGCTCCATAATCCTGTGGGTTCCCCAGACTCACCTCAAACCATCTCCTAGGCCTTCTCTCCTAGGCCTGGGAGGCCTTCTCTAATTTGGCTCCCTCTTACCACTTTGGAGACTGTCTGCCCCATTGGGGTCCTTGGCTTGACCCACTTCTGGGGGAAGAGGTCCCACGTGGGCCATAGGGAGGTCACTTGTTACCCAGAACGTATGCATTTTAATAAAAATATCTCAATGGTGGGCCCTGGGTAGGAGAAGTGGGCCCTTCATATGCCAGACTGGTCCCCTCTGATGTCCCTGACTGCCTTCCTCCCCGTGCACCCTACCAACTTCTGTTCTTCCTCCATTCATCATTAATGGCCTTGCTAGGTATGACCAGATTACTCCCTGCCACTTTCCCCATAATTAGACTGAATGCACATCCCTTGCTGGGCTGAGTAGCCCTATCTTTGGATGATTTCATTCAGCATGAGAACAGAGGCTCAAATAGCATGGGGAGATTTTTCCCTCAAGAAAGGGAGACTTGCCCTATTTGCATATACCTTGAGGTATGCAAGTGCTCAGAGATTAGAACATAGCTGTATAAATTGAAGAAGAAAATGACTAGATTGCTGAGATGTGGGGTTGTGACATTTTTCCCCCTTGGGGGGTGGGCAGTGGCAAATAGGATCATGACTTTTTATCTGACTCACCAGCTAAGCTGTTGCTTCATTTTGGGCCTCAGATTGAACCCTAAGGGGCTTCTTTCTAACCCTTTGAGAAAACAGAGCCAGGTGAAAGGGGCCAGGGAGATTTGTTACCATGCTGGGAGAAGGGAGGGTACAGGTTTTCAGTGTTAGAATAAGAGGATTGGTACTTATAGGTGGGAGGCAGAAAAGCATGAGGAGAGACCAGAGAAGGCTAAAGACTAGGGCAGCGTGTCTCTTTTCCTGCTTTGGAATAGATAGGGAGGGACTGCTGGAGAGGCCCGATTCTAGGAGGGCTACTTCCTGAAAGGGCTGAACCTTGGCAGGGGTTAGGCAACTGCTGTTTATGGTTTGGTGGCTCCTGTAGCCTGCCCCCATAGTCTGCCTCAGGCTCTAATTGCTACTGGAAATAGGCCCAGTGGGAGCTGGGAAGGGACCTCTGATCCTAACCAGGTCTGCTGGGGCCCTCAGCTCTGTGGGTGAGATAGGAAGATAAGCATTGAGGAGAACACCGAAGCCAAGGCATTTCTCTGAATGTTTACTAAGCAGTCAGAAAGTGACATACTCCATCCCGCAGTCCCAGCCTCAGCCCCTGAGCATGGAGGGCTGGGGGTTGGGAGAAGTGCCTACAGACCAAAGAGAAAGTCGAGTTATGGGCTTGGCAAGTTGCCCACTCCTATCCCTGGTCTAGCTGCCTCAGAACTAAGGGAGGCCCAGAACCAACAAGTCATTCCCTTCCAGATTAGATGAGGCCAGCTGGCCTTTGGATACCCCAGTAAGAGGTGGTGGCAGCAGCGGCATGAGGGATTCCTCTAACTCCACACACACGGTCATCTGCACTGGATTAGATGTCCATTTCAAATTGTGCGTCATCTGGAGAGAGAAAAGGCAGGAGGACTGGTTGCTGGGTTGAGGGTCTGCAGGCTCGGCGTCAGTGCAGAACCCCTCTTGGAACTGAACCCCCACTCTACTTAACCAGGGCATTTGGGCTCAGTCATTCCCTAATTTTAGATCCTGCTTTCCTTACCGGGTATCTCTTCCTCTGTCTCCTTCTGCTCCTTCAGCTCCTCCAGCTTGGAGGGTGGGGCTGTTGGAGGAGTTGTGACCCCGGGAATCTGAGGGAGGCAGCAGGGGGGTGTCCGGGCAATGGGTGAGTTCTTGCACTCCAGCAGGAACTTTCGGTCGTAGATGATCCTGGTGCCTGTCAATGGGTAGGGCTAGGTAAGAGGCAGGAGCCTGGGTGCGGAGCTGTCTGGGGCCCCAGGCACAGGCCTTTTAGGGACCTGCAGGTTACATTTCTCTGTGTTTTAAAAGGCTACTGCTCTGCAGCCCAGCCAGGATCTTAGCTGACTAGCTTTCATGGCATTTAAAGACTTCCAGGCCTAACCAAGTTATTGCTAAGCTCCATAAAGCAAGGGGGGTCATCTCAGCTGGTCGAGGCAGGGGCTTTTGGTTTAGGGGAGCTTCAGGTTTTGGCTCTAGGAGGAGCTCAAGTACTTCAGGCTGCTCCTGTCTGGCTCTGGTTTGCTTTGGTTCACATTGCTGTGGAGGGGCCTAGCCCTCCAGCCTCAGTTGGATCAGGAAGCCAAATAGTAGATATGAAGGCATTTCACCCAGTACTGCCACCTGGGCTCTGATACCCTGCAGAGAAGAGCTGTGTTCCTCTGGACACCTACTTTCCTGGTGAAGCACAGGGACATACTGTTCTTAACCTGACTCTGAGGAAGACTCAGCCTAGCCTAGAGGAACTTGGCCTCAATTGTGTCCTCAAGGGCCCTGCCCTGTTCTGGCCCCTCCTCTCACCCTCCACGTGGCAGGAAGCCCTGGGACGGTAGCCTAGCAGCTCATGATCCTAGGCTGCTCGCCCAAGCAAACAGCTGCCAGCTAGCTACAGATATCCAAAGCCACTGCCCCCAACTGCTCTCCCGCTCTGGCCGCTTTGCAAGACCTGGTGCTCCCTGCTGAGGCCATGTTCAGCTGGGCCCTCGGCTTCCATCCCCAAGCAGCAAAGTCAGGAGGGGTAGATGAGCAAGGCGCCCAAAACCCTGGCCACAGTGAGGATTTCAGCCCAGAGTCATCCGGAAACTAGGCTCGAGGCCGTGTTGCATCACTTAGAGGTTTTGGGGAACTGGGCTTTGTCTCCAAATATTCCCCTGCTGTCCCCAAAGCTACAGACTGCAGAAGAACCAGCAGACGAGTCCAAGACCCGCACCTCCCCACCCCCCGCCCCACGACAGCACGCAGGCGCAGGCCTGCTTGCAGCCTGCGACCCTGGCCCAGCCCAGCCCGCTGACCTCCCGGGGTTGTGGCGTATAGCGTGCCCCCCGGCGTGGTGCTGTAGCAGTCGAGCAGCCGGACCCTGCCCTCGGGGATCGGGCAGCTCGCCGATGTAGACATAACGAGCCGGGTGAACAGCACGGCGGGCAGGCGGCTGGTGCTGAGAACACGGAGCGCAGCTGAGTCTGAGACGGACTCAGTCGACCACGTGCGGCCGCAGCAACACCACCAGAACGACGTCATGCCCGGGGCGGGCCACCTGCCATCACCCAATCCGACGGCCCCGCCCTACTCGCAAGCGAGCAAGCCACCGGGTCCGCGAAAGTTGGAAGGAGTCCCAGGCCCCGCACCGGCCTCCAGTTCCTCCTGGCAAAAACATTGGCCAGCCTGCCTTTGTGTGCTGCCGCCGCCCAGCTATTTACTATTTACTGTTTACAGCCGGGCACTGTGGACAGGTAAGGCACAGCACACGTTACTGCCATGTATTAATTCACTCATTCCTCTGAACAGTTTTGGACAGCAAAGCACTGTTATTAGCCACGATTTACAGGTGAGGAAACTAAAGTTCAGAGAGGTTAAGTCACTGGTTCAAAGTCACATATCTTGTGATAGGGGTAGCTGGGATTCAGACCTGAGTATATGTGATTCCAGAGCCTGTGCCCTTCAGCACAGCCGTGTACTGCTTCCCATTACTCAATTACAGTACGGGGTGAAAAGAGCCTTGATGGCCTGGTGCACAGCACGAAGGGGAAGTTCAGGGAGGAGGTGGGCTTTCTGGAAGAAGTGATACCTGGACTGATTGGAGGATGAATAAAAGTTGGGGGACAGGAGAGACCTGTTCTTTCATCTCTCCGCCACAGCTAACTAACTTAAGGAAACTAAGGAAGGGCGGGGGGCTGGTGAGGAGGGCTTGGTCTTTAGCCCTCTGGAAGGAAGATCAGAGAGAGTCTGGCCTTGGAAGATTTTCTGATATAGGCACAATGATATGAAAGAAGCCAGGAGAGAGATGGTGAGAAAGTAAGTACTAAGTCTAGTATCTATATACATTAAAAATCTCCACTTGATCCAGTTGTCCTCTGGCTTCTTCAATATCAGTATACTCCTACCAAGCCACCCCCCAAACCCCTGGCCAAATTAAGTACAGACCAGCTGACTTCATGCATTTATCAATATTACATCAGCTCTGGCTTCATCAGATTTTCCCTTAGCTGATTTCTTCACTCATGAAAAAAAAAAGATTGTATTTTATAAGTCAGTGCTTCTCAAACTTTAACATGCACATGAATCACCTGGAGGTCTTGTTAAAATGAGGATTCTGATAGAGTACGTCTGGGGTAGGACCTGAGATTCTGGGTTTTTAATAAGATCCCAGGGCTGGCCCCGTGGTCGAGTGGTTAAGTTCGTGCGCTCCACTGCAGGTGGCCCAGTGTTTTGTCGGTTCGAATCCTGGGCACGCACATGGCACTGCTCATCAAACCACGATGAGGCAGCATCCCACATGCCACAACTAGAAGGACCCACAACGAAGAATATACAACTATGTACCGGGGGGCTTTAGGGAGAAAAAGGAAAAAAATAAAATCTTTAAAAAAAGAGATCCCAGGTGATGCAGACCCTTAGGTCTGCAGGTCCTTAGAATCACACTTCAGGTAGCAAGGATATGTATATTTTATTGTTCCAAAAAGGTTTTTGAGCCTCTTACAAAGTGGTGTATGCCTAAATGAAGTGTTTTAGCAGTGCTGGAGGGTAAGGCTTGGGAGAAGATTGTGGGGAGCCATCTATGACAACTCAGCTTTAAAGCAAGGTAAGTACTCTGGTATGGGGTGTGGGAGACGGGGTTGAGGACAGGGAGACTGAAGGTGAAGACTCCAGCCTAATGAAATGGAGTGGGTAAAAGGGCACTGACTGTGAGGAAGGAGTGAAATGGAGGGGATCCAGATACACAGAGGAGGAAGGATAAGGTGATTAAGGGTGGGGTGACAGAGAGGGAGATAAGCTAGGATAATTCCCAATCTTCTTACCTAAGAGTCATGGTAGCTAGTAGTACCACCTAATATAGGGAAAACAAGAAGAGGGGCATATCTTATATTGGGGAATTTATAATGTGTGTGGAACGCTCAAATGGAGAAGCACAGTAAGGAGCTGGATATACTGGTCTGAAGCTCAGAGGGAGAACTGTGGGCTAGCGATTCCGACTTGGGTGGAATGAAATCCAAGAGCGTTGGATGCAATCACCTGGGGAGAAGATACAGTGTAAGGGGAGGCCTGGCCACAACAACATTTATTTAAGGGGTACTGAAGGAAGAGGATTCACCAAGAGAGACTAAGAAGGATCAATCAGAGTAGGAGAATTAGGAGAGAAGTGTCAAAGGTTTTCAAGAAGGATCAGTGTGGAAACGAGGTCTCCTTTCTACTAATCTCTACTACAGAACAACAGCAGCAATTATTACTGCTGTAAGACTACTGATGGAAGCTTACTTCTCTTGAGATGCTGTGTGCTCTAAGGGCTGGGGAACTAGAGAACAGGTAGTTGGCTTTAGAGAGAAAGCCAGATTCATCATCTGTGCAATCTGGATAAAGGACCAAGGGTTTAAATCTAATTACCCGTTAGAGTACGGGAGCTTTAAAAAAAATAGCTATGCCCAGGCCTCACCCCCAAGAGATCTGATGAAACTTATAGGGAATATCAGGTCTCTGCTACTAGGCAAATTCCTTTGGACTCACATCAGTACCATCAAGATAAAACAGGAGGTGAAAAGTAATCACAAAATAGGTTTGCAATCTGATCATTGTTTTCCAAATTAGTTCTTAAAGCCCAGGCTCCTCTCCTTCATTAGAGGTGGCCTTAACACTTAAGTTTTGGATACTGTTTTTTTTTTTGAGGAAGATTAGCCCTGAGCTAACTGCTGCCAATCCTCTGTTTGTTGAGGAAGGCTGGCCCCGAGCTAACATCCATGCCCATCTTCCTCTACTTTATACGTGGGATGCCTACCACAGCATGGCTTGCCAAGCGGTGCCATGTCCACACCCAGGATCCGAACTGGCGAACCCTGGGCCGCCGAAGCGGAATGTGCACACTTAACTGCTGCGCCACCGGGCCAGCCCCAAGTTTTGGATGCTTAATATTAACTTTCTCTCACTCTTTTCCTATAGGAGAAAGTGAAGGTGAAGGAACCTGCCTGTTGGCAAATGATGACAAATCTTTGAGGAGGAATAGAAAAATGCAGCGTTAGCAGAATCCCTCATCCCAAGACAGGGTCCACTGGGAAGACGTCACGACCAACCATACTTCTTGGCAGAAAAGATCTAGAGCTAGTTAGAGAACAAGATGTTCAGAAGCTGTTTCTTACAGGCTTGTTTGCCTCTTCCTGGGTTTACAATATGGTCCAAAGGTCTTAAACAATGTAAAACAACCACATATACCAAATACTCCTGTCTATTTGGCTAGAAACTGTAATATGACTAGCCTTTCCCTTTCTACAAGTTGCCTCAAACTGAGGATAGCCCCTCATGCACTAATTTTGAGATTGGGAGGAGGATTTGGCCAGAATCTATAAGAACGGATGGAAACTGTAGTTCCAAGTCCTGAAATTTCTTACCTCTGGTTAGGAGAGGCCACCATTGGCTGTCCAACTCTCTTCTTCGGTCTGGTTAGCTGAGGTGATGGGATTTCCCCTTTGAGGGCAGAGACTGAAGAAAGCAGACTGGCCTATAAAAAGGCAAGTCAGCACACTGTAGCCACAATAGATTTAAAGGGTCTTAAAACATCAATAATTTTATTGGTGGTAAAATTTTATTACATTGAACACTACTTAAAAAACTGGGTCCAGAAACCTTGATGATATAGTTTTATTCCTTAAAAGAGCTGTTATTCTCATGGGGTTTGATCTATGCCTCAGCAGGATGTTTCTTAATAACTGGAGGGCTCACTATGTGCAAGTTTTCTTCTGCCTCCGCTAAAATCTCAAAATCAATACTGGCTCCCACAAGAGCAGATTTTATTCCATGTGAGAACCAATGGTAGGGGCTCTTAAACCTCAGCAATGTAAACATTCTATTGGCTTCCAGTATTCCCATACCATATATTCTCATTCACAAGAAAAAGAAGAAAATCTGTGTTAGAACTAGAGATTCTTTTGAGTTCATTTACGTTCAGTTTCATTTTCAGATGAGGAAAGTGAAGCCCAGAAGTGAGAAATGACTTGCCTAAGGTCATATAGCTGCAAGTGGCAGAAATGAAAATAGAATTTAGGCTTCTGACTCTTGTTCCACTGTACCCATGCTGCCTCCCCCCACAAATCCCTTATATATTTTGAAAGTAATTAAGTTCTTACCTGAGCTAGGTTTAATCCAAGGTTCAGGTTGGTAAAATAGCAGTTAAGTAATGCCAGGAAGAGGCAAGACAGAGGAAAAAGATTACAGCAGGCAAAATGGGGTGGGAGGAGGCTACTGGGATCCAAATAGAAAGAAAAGAAGGCAGTGCTGGTAAGAGGGCAAGGAGGAGGGTATCCTAAATAACTACTACCAACTGCCCAGTTCCTGTTTTTCTTCCTAATCCTCCTAGGGGTTTCTCATAATTCCTCTTCGCATGGGTTCTAGTTCCGGACCTGAGAAAATTTCTCATTCTGTTGTCCTGAAGGTGCAGAAGCCAGGGTTAAGGGCTCCTCTAGATAATTCAAATGTAGATAGTTAAGACAGAACAAAACTCACCTTTCTGTCCCACTGATTAATTTGCTTAATGTTATTTCTTACTAGTCTATGTTTCACCAAGAGTAGTTTCATTCATTTCACTAATATTAGGTGATATTTTTTGTTAGTGGTAGGTGGAAACAGCAAGATATGTAGGTGATCCAAGGGGACTTTTGTCCCCCTCAAGGTAAGGGGGTCTCTTGAGAATACTTCATGTGGTTATCAAGCACTACAAAGGCAGTAGTTTCAATACCCATGATACTTTCCAAATCCATTCAAAATAAAAAATAAGAAATGAGCTTAAAGGAGCTCTCTCATGTAAGATGATATGAAAGACAAAAGAACCAGGTATGACTAACACAGAACAAACATGGTGTGTCTCATCTAGTAGTGGTTCTAGGAGCCAGGCACAGAAGATTAAAAACTCCTGTTGGTATGAGAATAGAAAAGTGCTGCGTGTATGGTTCTGTCCCAAGTTACTATTTTTCTGTGCATCCTTCTTTGC